TCGCGTCGCCTATGTGAATGATTGCTGATTTGCTTAGAAGGAGCTGTAAGGTAGGAATCACATGTGTTGGTCGTTCCTATACGAAGCCAAGCGACCCCCCATGTTGTTAGCCTTAGGTCTTGATCCTCGTGCATTAGAATCCCAATTTCCTACGACATTGGAGCTCCCAACCTCCCTTGGAGGGGTTGGTTGAGTTCGAACTCAAGAAACAAGAAAAGTTTTGTAGCTAGCCCATTTCATGAGTTTTCCAACATTTGTTGGATGGAAAAAGCTTTATAGCTAGTCCACCATACGAATGATGGAGAGTTTTCTCTACGAGAAATCAGAGGGGGAATCCCTCCACATTACCACGCCAATGACGGAGGTGACAATGTCGTGAATACAAGTGTGTCAACCATATGTTTCCTACGTAAGGCCGTTAGGACGAGTTTAATGTGTCATTGACCGTGTTGGGTTGCATTTCTTATGCATGATCATTTATGACATTGTTGGTTTGTGAATCATATTGCATGTTATATGCATGTTCATTTGAGCACTTCGGGTTGATTGACCACTCTAGACCGATCCCAGATCATCTTTTGGGTTTGATCCGTAGTCCCGAGCCGATCACCCTATTTGTTGGGTTTGATTGACTGCTACGTGTCGATTACCCATTCTTTGGGGTCAATCGACCGTTACTTGTCGATCATCTTCTTTGGTTGGACCGGCTGCCCTGGCCCCGGCAACTCGCCCACTCCCAGTCTACCTGCCACTTTGGCTTGACCGACCACCATAGCTTGGTTGCTGATCACTTGCAAGGTGAATGTTTCGCATGTACATGTTTGTGTTAGTTTGCTTGCATGACACATTGCATCTTGTATGTGTCAGCTTGCATGATCATTATCTTTCATTTGTGCCACACATCCTTTGACTGCTGCCGCCACAACACACCCATTTCTAGGTCACTGCTTCCACGACACACCTATTTGTTTGATCCACTGCCACTACGACACGCCCATCTCCGGGTCACTACCTCCACGACACACCCATTTGTTTGGGTCGTTGGTGTCAAGACTCACATATCTCCTTTTCACTGTCTCCATGACACACCCATTCGTCGGGCCCCAACCTCTTTGGCACGTCTATCTTTCCTTGTCACTGCCTCCATGACACACTCACCCTCACCATCTTGGTGCACCCTTTCTGCATATGCTTGCTGCATATTCGTGCATGTTTGCTTGCGTGCTCGGTGAGTGTCTCTAAGGTAAGGTGTAAACTCTCACACATGTATCTTTTCACTCAATGCAAACTCACTTGTAGCCGATGTCTGTTTGTCGCATTTCACCGGGTCTCTGGTAGGCGTAATTCCTCACATAGGTAGCCCGTTCTCACCGGTACATCTCATTCTGCGTGTCATGCTGTATGCAACATCCTTGCATTCATTTCCATGATATGTGTTCGCCCTTTTGGGTACCTTTTGTGATTGTTTTGTATCTTGGTTGAACAATCACAATGTGGGTTGTTTGCATGTTTGTGTGTTTGCCCATCTGCTTCGATGGCTTGTCCTACATGTTAGAGTGACCCTGTGTCTGTTGCGATGCCTTAACGAGCATTACTTGTTGGGTTGACCCCGGGAAGTAACGCGATTTAAGTTAACGATATTGACATGAGTATGACTGTGCTACGGATCTAAGGGTTCTAACGTGCGTCATATGTGTCGCAGAACCGCATTGTAGGTCCGTTATTTTCAAAGTATAAAATGGATGTTTTTACTACTTAATATTATCCACCTACTTTTAAAATCATATAAGCTAGGTCATATGTGAGACCGTTTATTTTAAAATGTCACCCTTCATCTGTGACGTGCTTTAGAACCCTTGGATCTTTAGGATGGGGTCGGCGTGACGACCCTGTCAAAGTCATACGATAGCCAGAGACTTATGTCGTGGACTTAAGCATTAGGTTAGAACACTTTCCGTTAGATGGTGTACTAGGCTAGAATTTAGGGTTCTATGTAGTTTTTTTGATGTCTGGCTATTGCTTTTTGCTTGATTGGTTGCCACAACTAGGCATCTTTCTTTTTGCTCTTTTGGTGTGCCTGCATGCTTCATATACATGATAGTGTGATAGGGTGTGCTTCTGCAGGGATCGTGCATCTATATACACACACACATGTACCGCTAAAGGGAGAATCTGTAATGATTTCGAACTCTTTTGCTTGTAGATGCTACTCATCTCCCCCACTTATAAGACACGACTCATTATATACATTGCATGTGGGCTTTCCCGCTAACTTATTTTCATGCAGGATTGAGTCTTTTCTTTTCTCATACACTTTTAGAGTCTAGGAGAGTCTTGTAGCATAAATAAGATATGAGCATGAGTTCCGAGGCGTTTAGCACGGGAACCATATAGAGGGACCAAGAGCCGACGCTAGTGCCCCGTATCTTTATTATGCAGTTTTATATTAATATATAGAAATTGGATCGGGCATGTATATGCGAAGTCCGTTTGCCTTTTCTTTTTTAGGATATGTCACCGACCCATCGACACTGTCCTTTCTTATTATTTTGATTTATATTGTTTTTTTTTGCTTCATTATATGCATGTATGCCTGCATGTCTGTATATTTGCATATTTATTTCTGCGGTTTGTCCGGGATTCCACAAAAATATATTCTAGGCTCATTAAGAACTCTAATTATTAGTTTTCTACAAAATCCTAATAAAATATTCAAGATAATGAATTTTTAGGATTAAAATATTCAGGACTTTAAAACTGCACTTTTTTTTCCTGCATGGCCTTTAGGCCGGATTTTAAAATGGATTACATGCTTGGCTATCACTCTAGCCATATAATAAGAACTTGACAATAATTAATGACTACTATAGATAATTGCATTCATATTTACATGTCCCACGGAGAAATCCCCGTGCTTCTCTAATTTTACTGGCCCAACATACCTTTTTACATATGTGGTTTTCTAGTGCGTTTAGGGTGTTAGAAGGCTCCTCAACCCTGACGGAGATAAATATTTTTGTTTGGAGTGTTTTCAGCTTTGTAACTGAACCTCTACTTTTCTCCTTTCTTAAGACATCAATGCTACTTTGGCAAGTGTCAGTCCCACCACTTGGAGCTCCAGTTTTTAGTCATATGATTGAGTTTTCTTTCTTTGACCTTAGGGCTACCGAGGTCCCTGTGGACAATGCAATTCACAGATTGCTGACTGGGGATTTCAGGACGTGTTGGGTCGACTACCTTCACGATCGGGTATACTTAAGGGTCCCACTGGCTGTGTATGACGGGTCTGTGATACTCTGACCCAGCTACCTCTCCCTTCAAGGATTACTCCACCTTTCTGTTGTTGAGCTCCATTGAGCCCTGTAGCTCCTTTGACTTCATCGATGTCATTTTGATGACCTGATGCCTATGAACTGCCACTCGTCTAGGCTATGACGATTTGTCATATGCCCTTATGGCCCGGACGTGCTTTGACCCATTGGGATATCATTATCAAGATGCTTAAGGTTATTCCATAGGCCCCGTGTGCCAAGGAGCTGCTACCCATTTGATATGTGAGAGATTCACTCTCTGCCCGATTACTTAGTGTGAGTTTTGTAGCATCGAGATATTCCCACACTGAATAAGCTTTCTTTGATGACCTATTGCCCCAGGTTTATGATAATATAAGTGAAACCCCTTTTATCGAGAGTATTCTTGGGTACCCTCAAAGTGTTATTCACGAAGTTAGATACGTCCCCTTGGGTGTGCTCTTGACCCCAAAACAAACACCTACACCAGATACTTGTTTCCCAGATATTGGTCCAAGGTGTCTCTGGTTGATCTTGTTTGGGCGGACATACTTGATCTATCCTTACGAGGTTTATCGCACGTAGACGCTCCACATTTTTGGATGAAATTACATATTTTTTCATAGATTCCCAAACATTATTGAAAAAATTTGCTATGTAATATGATATTTTTGGATATATTTCATCTTTTCTTTTGGCTCTGAATTCTGACTTATATCCTTGGCCATGGAATTTTACTTGTTGCTAGATGGTTGTTTCATTCTAATATCTTGTTCAATTTTGGTGAGTGATTTTTTTTTATCCTATTTTGCAGCTGTTCATCCAATAGGTTTTTTTTTCTGTTTAACATATGATGGTTTGGCTGTTTCAGACAGTGAGTTGTTCTTTTTACTTTTACTAATAATTCATATATTTTATTTGATGGTCCAACCGAGTTGGTTAGTGATATTGTGTTTTTGTTTTATCTAATAGTTGATACACTTTATTTATTAGTCTGGCTTAGTTGTGTAGCGGGTTGGTGGTTTCTGAGCTATGATGTACCCAAACTTTTGCATCGTGTTACAACCGCATTTAGAGATTTAGCTTAACCTTTTATTTCATTTGGTATAAGCTTGGTTGTTGATTGATGAATTCGAACATGCTTCTATCAATTGGTTGGAATACATTGTATGTAATTGTTTTAGAAGCATATCTTGATTCCTTTACCCTTTTGGTTGGGAAATTATTGTGTACGGACACCACATGCATCTCTGCATGCGGTGGAGATGCATGCGGTGTCCGATCCTGACCGTAGATCACGGTGATGTACTGTCAGGATTATTTCCAGTTTTTTTTTTTTTAAAATTTAGATGTGACTCACCGAAATACATTAGGACTGTATATCACGTGATTTACGATCCGGATCGGACACCGCATGCAAGGTATGAAATAATTTTTACTTTTGGTTTGTTTTGACATGGTGCTTTGATATTTTTCTGAAATAAAAAGAGGGGCACTCTCACTTGTATCAAGGCGGCGCTTCCCATTGGCTCGCTCCCACGCGAGCTAATAATGAACAAATCACGTGTCACCAGATTAGCTTAGCTCCAAAATTAAACGGTTGAGATCCGTTAAACCAAAAACATCAACGGTCACAAACATCCCACGATTCTCCCTCCTTATCAAACCGCAAACGGCCCTTATTTTTCCACGTTTCCCCTCCACCATCATTTTAGCACCAAGAGCTACCCCTCTGCCGACCGCCGTCTCTCTCTCTCTCTCTCTCTCTCTCTCTCTCTCTCTCTCTGTGTGCAAAATCTATCCGTAGCCCAGCTTTAGCATCTTCCAATTCTAGGGTTTTCCTTGTCCCAACATCCCCGACTCCACTTCTTCAAGTAGAAATTCAATCAGAGCTCTTCTCGCCTTCCCAAACCTGAAAAAGGTGCCATCTTTCCAATTCAACAATCCTGATTACAGAAACTGTAATCCGAATACTGCATACAGTCCGCTCCCATGGCGGATTCTGACAACGAATCCGGCGGGCATAACAACAGCAATGCCGCCCTAAGCAGCGATTATTCATCTCGCGAACAGGACCGCTTCCTCCCCATCGCCAACGTTAGCCGAATCATGAAGAAAGCCCTCCCGGCCAACGCCAAGATCTCCAAGGATGCAAAAGAGACCGTTCAGGAATGCGTATCTGAGTTCATCAGCTTCATCACCGGCGAGGCCTCTGATAAGTGTCAGCGCGAGAAGCGCAAGACCATTAATGGTGACGATTTGCTATGGGCCATGACCACCCTTGGCTTCGAGGAGTATGTTGAGCCACTTAAGATCTATCTGCAGAAATTTCGTGAGATGGAAGGAGAGAAGGTGGGGGGTAGCAGCTCTCAGTCGCAGAAGGATGGAGGGAGTGGTAATGGAGGAAATGGGGGTGTGGGTGGTGGTATGGGGATGGGAAGCAATGCAGGGGGATTTGCAAGTGGTGCTGCGGGGATGTATGGTGGTGGTGGGATGATGATGATGGGTCAGCAGATGTATGGGTCTGCACAGCTGCCTTCTTATCATCATCAGCAACAGCAGCAGCAACAACAACATCATCAACAGATAGCTATGAGTGGGGGTGGTGGTTGGAGTTCTTCACCAACGTCTAGTGATCGGCAGGGGAGGATTTGATTGGATTTCTATCAGGTGATATATATTTTTTTAGGGGCTTCCCTTGTGTTTGACTCTTGTTTCTGCGGATATATGTGAATTTGGTAATATTTTGGTGATATTATAGTAGTATTATTATAGTCGAATATCATCACAATGCTATCAAATATCGCCAAATAACATCACAATACTATCAAATATCATCAAATACCACCAATCCACATGTGCAGATTCTATAGGTAATGTTCCCTCTGTTTTGTTGTGTTTTGTCTTTTTATTGAAGTGATATTACATGCAGATAGGGAATGTGCGGATTTGATAGTATTGTGGTGGTATTGTAGTGATATTCATTATTCATCATAATACCAACACAATATCGTCGTAATATCATCACAATACTACCAATCAGCGCGTACAGATATTGCATGTAATTTTTCCTTTTGTTTATGGGGCTACGTGTTGGGATATAGAATGTATTGTTATTGGTATAGAAGAACCTTGTTGAAGGATGAGATCTGTAACATAATGGTTTCCTGCTCCTGGAATTATCATGCGGAAGAGTTGAAGTGAAATATGTAAATTTGATGCTGAAAGACGTGTTAGTGGCCAGAGTTTTTCTTCTCAAAATGCTTCCATGGCTTACTCTGCTTACATTTCAATATTCTTCATGCAAAGTTTGTATATCAGTTTTTAAAAATTGAAATGGTGGTGTTTTTTATGTTTTATGAAAGATTAGGGTGGTAGAAATGTAAAATATAAAATTTTTGAATTAGATATCTAATCTAAAGACAGAGAAATTGAGTGGCATGTAAAAATATTATCCCAACACATCATTAAAATATTAAGCAATTGCCACAAAATTTGGTGGTTGTTTGCATGAAAAGAAAATTTGAAGTCTTCTTATCTTGATTCGGACATGGGCAAGTCATGGATTGGAATATTGGTGAAGTAAGACAGTGTACATTGTCAGGGTTGATTCGGCAAAAAACAATTTTTTCTGGTTTTGCAGAGAGAAATCATAGTTATCTCTTCAAGCTTGTCTGTGATCAGAGCTGTAGGAACAGATTCTCTTTGCTTTTCTTCCTAAAATATAATTTTGGAATGCTCGGATGGTAGCAATTTAGCATTAGCAAAATATAACAATAAAATATAATGCAACGAAGTTGAACACAGGAGCTATGGAGAAAAATTTGCGTACGTAAGAAGTACGCAGCACTGCGTAGAAGTTGCCAGCACTGCGTACGTTAGGGAGGTTATTCAGAGGGTACTGTGGGTTATATCCGTGTTATACTTTTTATAATCTCCCTATAACATACCTGTAACCTACCTATATCTTCTAGTAAGTTTCACGCTTTTGTTTTTATATATTTGTAGGTTACATGAATGTTCTGTAACCTCCCTATAACATACCTGTAACCTACCTGTGCCTTCTAGTAAGTTTCACGTTTTTGTTTTTATATATTTGTAGGTTACATGAATGTTACAAGGGATATAATGTGGATTAACCTCCCAATATCCTCTGAATAACTTCTCTATCGTAAGCAGCGCTGCGTGGGGGTCTTACGTACGCAAATTTTTTTATTTTTGGGTTTGGCATTTCTTGGCGCAGACAAAGGTCTCACCAACCTCCAGAAAAAAAGAAAGGTGTTTCCTTGCAAAATATCAATAAAGATTTTGTGGTTGCCACAAGTGGGGTAGTTCATTTTTTGGGGCTCTGATTTTTCATTCTTTCACTCAGTATTTAATATAAGGGACTTTATTGTCTAAATTTATATTTCCCAAACAAAAAAAAATAATAATAATAATTTAATTTAATTTTTTTTAATTCTAATCAATGTGAAGCTCTGTCATGCTCTTAAGTAAAATAACAAATTTTTAAAAAAAGTTAATCGACATTAAAAATTCATGAGCAGCTCATTGACACTTGTGTCAAAAAAAGATTTATTCTCACTTAAAAGGTTGAGGGTTGAAAACCTTTGTTCTTTAATCTCTCGAGATGAGGAATTTTATCATGGTGAAGATAAAGGTTTCGGGGGAGTTATTATTGGCGAACGCCGTCCACAAGTAGGAGACTGATTGATAATGAGTTGAGAGAAAAGAGGAAATCGTTTACTAAGGGTCTGTTTGGGACCGCGGTGTGGCGTAAGGTTGCGAAGTACAAGCGTTTGGGAGGGATTTGGGAGCACGGTTTGCCTGCTTTTTGGGAAAAATCGGGCCGCAGATCAAACCCCGCGGTCTGCGATCGAGCTATGATTTATTACGTAGCTTACCCTTGTCATGTCGCTCCTCTAACCATCTGTTCGACGCCAAATTGCGCTCCTCCTGTCGCCCCTCTACTTCCAGTCGCTCGTTGTTCCTCCAGTCGCTCCTCCTCTGACTCCCGTTGCTCTGCTTCAGGTCGCCCATCGATCTTCCCCTAACTCCCATCGCTCCTCTGCTGTTTGGGTCAATCGCTCCTCTGCTGTTTAGGTATTCCTTTGATTCGATCATTCAAGTAATGCATCAAATTTATTAGACAAATCCTTCTTTGATTGTCATCACCCGAAACTTTCTATTTAATATATATTAAGTTAATAATAAGGTTAATATATAGAAGTTAAATAGTTATACTATTACATACAAACCACTCAGAACTATTTACAAATCAACCATACTCTTTCATCCAATTGTCAAATTCTCACTCAAATATCAAAATTCATGGTAAAACCCCAATCCATATTCTTCAGTTTGATCAAACCCTCGTGGCAACGCAACTGCAGCTGAAAAGTTGAGAAGCTGCAGCTGCCCCAAACAGACCCTAAGAGAGATGTGACTAAGGAGAGGATTCCTTCTAGGCCCACCGTAAAATATGTTAGCATTTTTAATTCTATTATGAATGAGATATTGGGGCTGATGAGTTCAACCTCATCTTCTAATAGATCCACGTGCTAATGAGTTTAACCACATCTTAGCTTTATCCCTCAAGGAAACAAGGAAAAAGTCCAAGTCTGATAACGTCATTTGATACGTCGTCGTACTTAAATGTAGTACATAATTCTAGAAAACTAGCAAGTTGTAAGTTTGGATCCTGAGATAGTCTTCCCTCGAACTGATTATTTTGTATCATGTAGATTATGTCAGATTTCAGCTCAAATGAGTTAGCCGCTACAACAGGGGTTTGCATGCTCAAATGAATTTCATCTGTTGTATGGTTTACATAGTCTCTTAGAGGTCTTTGATGATGTTCATTTTCAACAGTTTGATTATTAATATTATTATGTAATGTGTTTGTCATTTCTTGTAAATTATGAAGTTCTTTTCATTTTCGGATTTCTCTTATGGTTTGTTCTAACTTAGAATCGTACGATACTAATCTTTCAGATCCTAAACAATGCATACAAAAGTAAGAGTTCAAAAATTAAAAATAAAATAAAATTAAACAAAAGTCTAAAAAAATGTCTTATTTTCTCCTTTTTTATAAATATATTTTTAACACAAAAATAAAAACTTATATATTTAAACAACACTATAACTTTCCTAAAATAATTTTAGTTTTTTTTAAAAAAATTCTAAGTTAAGAATTTCGTTGCTTCATTGTTTTCTTCCCCGACAACAACGCCAAAAACTTGGCCCGACCCACAATTACGCAGTTATTTAGTTTTCGAAAAGATGACAAAAAACTTGACCTAATATATTTTAGCGGCTAGTGTGCACAATAGATATGTTATAGAAATTAAAATTTGATTATAGTTTACACACTCGAGGTACTACGCAGGTATACGCATCGTTTCAAATAATATAAGATTTTCTTTTAAAACCCTAATATTTTTCCTACATGAAAGGTTAAACTCTTTTATGGGCTTAGTAAAAATTTAACTTAACTCCAGAAAATTATCTAGAAAATATGGTAGCAAGTTTATGCGTAAAAAGAAGTTACTAAATTTCTAGTAATTCTTTTTCAAAGCTTAAATAAAATGCAATAATTCTAAACTAGTTTTACGTAAAAAAGTTCAAATTATGTGAAAGTTCTTTTCCCTTGCAAAGAGATCATAATCAGTGTAAGAATCAAATGCCTAAATTTTTAAATATAGTTTTGTACAAAATAGGAGCAATCCTATTCTTACCATCTTTCGAGTGCATAAAGAACATTAGCTAACAGAGAGTTAAGTTCCTAAATCCATGGTTATGCTGGGTTGGTTTAGCTTGTCACTTCCAGATTACCCACTACGACCATTACTATGGAAAAACCTAGCCTTAAGTTTCAAACTCTAGATCAAATTGGTTAAGGTTCTAGCCTGTCACTCTAGAATGACCAATTTATGCCCATCAAAACTTATCTCCATATATATTTGTAGTAACCAATGGGCTACCTTCTCACCCACTAGATTAATGTGATTCTGTCTAGTTGAGGAACACATAGCCCTCCTAGGTCATTATGGATTCACAACAAATTTTAATATTCCGATTGGCCAGATTGAAGATGTAAATTAAGTACAAAGTAGTGAATTATCACAAGTATTGAATAAGAGAAATCTTAAATAATTTTAATCCTACACATGATTATTTCTTAATGCAAGGAGAAAGATAGAGGAAAATACTCGGTCTTCATGGGGATAATACAACAAAACATGATTTATATTGAAATCCAAGTTTACACAGTAAAACAAAATTCAAACAAAATACAAAGTACTTATCTGAAAATTCTCCCCAAGCAAATCCTTTGAAGTTCATTTGATGACTTCTTACTCCAATAGACACACCAAAATACACACTAGAAAAACTCTCACCAACACACTCTCTCACGCACACACTCATGCCGCACATACACACCCACACCTCTACTCTCTTTCAAGACACCCCTTTTTCGACCATCCAATGCTTCATTTAATAAAATTCTTAAAATCACCAATAGTCACTTCAAGCACCCCTTCAAAATTCATTCAAATTCATTGCACAAAAATCAAAACCATTTTAGGCGCCATGCCACTTTTTACTCTTTTGCTCCATTTGACCTCATTTTGGTTTTTGCCCTTTTTGCTTTTAAACTTCATCTCTTGCACCTGAAATCAAAAACACACAAAATACCTTCCATTAAAGCGCAATATCCTTAAAAATAAGCATAAAATGTATATATAAAAATAACACATTTTAAGGCGTGTCAATCATTAAATGAGGCTAGCAATAGAGAGTCCTACATGAATTTTTCATACATCATCTTCAAGAGACATGTTCATGCATATATAATTTTTATAGTCTACACATTTTTTATTCTAGATTAGTCTGAATTCGAAATTTATTTACAATACTTATGTGTATATATAGTGGTTAAGTAGGCCACCTATTATAGATCTGGCCTTGGAAAGGTTTCATATAGAGATAACCTCATAGAAAGACCATTAAGTTCAGGTTTATCTTACACATATCATTTTAACCAATACTTTGAAAAATTTTTATACCACCAACTGAGAGTAATATTATTTATAGGTAGAATGAGACTCTTGCCCCGAGTAGCCAATGAATCATGTTTGAGTTTATTGATACGAGTTCATTAGAGTGTTGCAAAGTTAGGTTTATTATTTTTAACATACATTTTGTTACATATATACAATTATAGGATTTATTGTAGTCAC